GTCCATTTTATCTGCTGAATCAATAGGATTTACTTAGTGCTAATGCACTAACCAGATTATGAGAACTAATGCAGTACTGTTCAATGACAAAAGCAAATAACTCTTTGAATGATCTTGACAAAAGAACATGAAATCATCTTAATTTGTATTAACTAATTGCATTTAACATGGATGTTTTTACCTATTACCTTAAGTGAAGCATCAGTACAGTAACTTCTTCCCCCATCTCACTTTAGCAGTGAAGTAGATCAGAGCAACCACTATTAAGAGTTAGTGGAATGATACTATGTAAAATTTTACATCAGTGGAGTTCTTTAAAAAAATAGTCTCAGAAAGGGATTTACTTTCTCTGTATTTTATAAAAAAAAATCTTCAAATTGCTTTCCAATAAATGAGGAATATTGGGAAGAGGAGGAAGGAAGAAGAAGAAAACAATTCTTTGTTTAAAACAAAAAGAGGAAACAACTCTTCTAACTTTCAGAGTAAAGCTTCAGTGCCTCAGCACAAGTTCTTAGAAACAGAAAACCCAGTCTCCCGTCCCAGATGTGTTCACAGCACCTACACACCCTCAAGGTGTCGTTCACTGGTCAAGAAGAAATCAGAAGCATGGTGGATCTTCTTCTGTGGGAATTGTTTACCATATGAATTGGTGTCCACTGGCAAAATTGAACCATTCAATATTATTTGTTTTTTCCTTCCCTAGGATCACAAGAATCATAATTACCATGATGATGATCAAGTCACTATCATCCTCAGGCAACAATCTGTCTTAACTGAATTATTGGGGCCAGAATGCCGTTCTTGTATTTCTCATGGAGAGAAGCAGTGAGCACATGTACTTCTCACTTGAAGAGAAATACTGCAAACTACTCAGAAAATTCAAGTGTATTACAGAACAGCAAAACTGTATTGGCTAAAAATACACAAGAATATTTAGAGAGGAAAATCTGATAAGGTTCTTCTGTGTTCCTCCTTCTTACTCTTCCTGTTCAGAGTCCGCTGGACCTGTAAATTCTTCACCATTATGTGTTTGATTCCAACAGGACCCAATCCTGAAACCTGTAGTTTTATTATTCATCTTAATTCTCCAACTTCCACAACAGAAGGGATAAGTAACTTACACACTCTCTCAGGTTTTAATTGCCTTGGGAACCAATTTATGTAGCATCATCTATTCATTCACTCTACAGCAGTTTCTTTGAAAAAGGGGTTTTGCCATTTGCAGGTATCTGGATCCAGCTCATTTAGCAGTAGCTCATTTCCCCCTACTGTTATGTTGTAGAGATGATCTTAAGGGTCTTTTCCAACCTAAAGTATTTCTTGATTCTGTGAAAGGAGAAACACTGTTACCACTTGTCAGTGCCCACTTCTCTTGAGGGAGACTCCCAGAATTCACAGCAGAAAACAAAAGTTAATACTTATGATTTTGAATCCTGACAGTCAACAAGTTAAAAGCTTTCATATAAACAAACCATCAGAGAATAAGACTTATGCGTATTCCTACTTTCACTTGAATTGTTCTTCATGACTGTAGTATTTTATGACTGACACTAGGAAATATCACCTAGTTACTTTCAGACCATTTCTCCAATTTTTGAAATTAAAGTTTATTTTTAATGATGTCCTACAAATGGCTCGCAAGACAGTATGAAATGTTCTGCAGTGATGAAGTCATTGATTTCCAGTTTATTCAAGACGTGAATCATAACATCAAGACCTTACATACAATAACACTTTCTAATTGAGCACTGCACTTAACTAAGAGGAGCAGGGTTTGGTCAGCTCTTAGAAGGATGAGCCTGGAGGAGTGTTTCTCCAATTTACAGTCACTGCAAATAACAGAAAAGCTCACAAAAACATATTTGGATAAAATTTTGATCCCACACCCCCCCTTAGTGTGGTATTCAGACTAAAAACTAGACTTTGGAATCATTTTTCTGACACTGACCTAACTGGGTATTTTTCTGAGATTTTCATTAATGTCTGTAAGAATTCCTCTCCATTTTGCACCTTTGGCTCCAAATGTGCAACTCTGTCTGAAATACTTTATGGTCACTGAATATGGAATATAAACCACTAGTTAATTGCAAAACTGTGACAGCTCCTGATAGCTCTGCTCAGCGATGTCTAGAGACTTTTTTGGCATATCTGTCTTCTGTGGACCAAATCAAGGGTAAATTCTGAAACACCTCAACTTCCCCATGAACAAATATGATAGTGTTAGTTATCTCCTACCCTTCTGGACACGGCTGTAAGGCAGGGCTTGCTCACACCTCATTGCATTCCAGTGGCACACCTGCACCAGCTTCACAAAGCCCTCACTATGAATCACATGCACAACTGGCACCTCTTGTCCTACAAGAGGAGCAATATAGCTGAACCCAAGCACTTACCCATGCTCTAATCATCCATTTCAATAGCTGTGTGATTTCTCACTAGAACTTGGCATAGTATCCAGGGTGCATCATCTGACATCAGTTATTTTTCCACATTGACAGCCAAATGGATAGTTATGTGTACTGAGAGGGAGGGTGAGAGGGTGGGAGGAAGGGAGAGAATCAGGCTTAAAAGTGTTAATTTAAAGCAGCTTCTTTGCTGATGTTTTCTCTGTTATCAATCTTCCTTTCATTTTCTAAGTAGCCTTTTAATCTCTTCAGTGCTGCTCAAAGATCAAAGCCTTCCTATTTCTTGAACAACTAATTGTACATTATGGTTAATCCATGAAGCACTGAGTTTTGTAAGAACCATATGTGTAACAATCTGCAGGTTCTTGAGCCGATACCAAAATTATGGCATCTCTGAGGAAGGCTGAGCTGACTTTATGGCTGAGCTGACTTTGAAGAAGCTAGGAATGGTGTCAGGGCAAGCAGGAAAATCTAACCACTTTTTTCAAAGAGCTTGAACGGGGTTTCAGGAGGCGGTATGATAGGATGTTTAAATTGTGCTGAAATGACTGTGTAGGAGGAGGTAGATTAGCACAGGAACCTCTCTCCCGAAATTCATTTGCTTATGGAAAAAAGGAGTTACAGGAAAAAGCAGAGATCCCAAGTTGGGGAGTGTAAAATCAGAAATCTGCCTTATTTCAAAAAAGCATGAAAACTGTACATCTTTCTGCACTTGAACTATTCACAGTCATTGTATGAGTAATCTTTGTACAGATGTTTCAGAAATACTTTTAGCCTGGGTAGGACATAAGTGCAAAAGAATACAGCTTTTAGCTTGTTTGGTGGCCAAAACAAAGAAAAGCTAGATTTGCCCACTGATGATTTAACCCAGTCGAATACTGGGTTAAAAACCACTTAAAGTGTTTTCAGTGTTCCTAGTTCAAGGTATTAGTTCAGTTTCTGCTGAATAAAACACACTGTATATTAACAGTTAATAACAAGACTAATATAGCAAACCCTTTAGTATGTGGATAGTGCAATTGTTAAGTCACTGCTGTACCAGGTCTAATTTAGAAGCCCTCTTTCTGTATCATTAAGACACTGCACAGAGATTTCAATTGCTCATGTGTTCTTATGCAGGTTTTCGCCTAAACGATACAGTAAATTGGCAGGGCACCTTCAGAAAAGCTGGCACTAGCCCTGACTGCAATACCCAAGGATTATAGAAAACTTCACCCACCAGGGCTGTTGCTGCTCTCAGTTCAGAAACATTACAATTCAACAGCAAAGGACTGAACTATTAGGTTGAACATTTTTTGATAGCATTTTCAATGCCTTGAAACTTACCTTGGGTTTTATTCCAACAAGAAATTCTTTGTTCATTGCTTGCTTTCTTATAGTACTTTGAGGGAAAGACATCTAAATCTAGAAAACAAGACAAAAAATTTTACTCCGACATGCTCTTTAAGGGGATGATGCAAATCTGTTGAATTTAGTGGACTCTTGACTGTCTTGAAAAGGTTTCATTCAAGCTTTTTAATAGATTTTTTAAAACATGTTTGTGACAAAAACCAAATCAATTAAAAAAAATAGGAAAAATGAAGTTCACTATTGATCTTAACAGAGGGAACCGCCATAAGATCCTTTATAATCTTCCTACATGTTTATTCATAAAGTACGTCACAGTGGAAACATGCTAGACGACTTCCAAATTTAAACTGGTTAGAGATCCTTTGGGGGTTCTGATTATTATCTGTATGATCTCACCAAAACAGATGATGTAGTATCAATAGTAATGAAATTATGAGTTAATAGATTACTACTGGATTGTCAGGAGGTTATATTCTTCTTGAGAGATAACTTAGAGTGTATTGTTCAAGAATTTTTCCAGTGCAGATTAAAACCGTATAATCTCTATTCCCAAAATGAAAGAGAAAATCCTGCAAATGCAGCAGCTATTATAGTACACTTAAGACATATAGAGATCAGATGAAAAAGTGCATGAACTATAGATGATCGATACAACAGTCTGAGTAATTAAAAAAATCTGGCTTTCCCATAGTTTCATTTAAACATACAATCAGAAACATCTTTTTCCTGACTTATCTCCCTTTCCTTTCTCTGTCTTTTTCTCCACTTTAATGTCTTATCTCTGAAAAGGGTGGTGAAAATAGAATAGAAGAATATAGGAAATTGTTATTTTAATGCAAAAAGTTGCATTGTTTTTAGAGAATCTTTTTCTAGGAAACTTTTTCAGAAGCAAATGTGTCACTGGGCAGACTCTGCAGTACAAAAATTCTGAGACTCTTGGACAAGCAGTATTAAGGAAATCACTAAGAGAAAGGATACCTTGATATATGTGCTCATATTGTTTAGTTAAATAAAGACCCAATGTCTTATTCCAACAGAGATGATAAAAAAAGTTAAAAGAAACATTTCCTTAAACATTAAGAAGTTGTTGCCTTCTTCATGGAACATCATAACTGATGAAGCAATTAAGTTTGAAACATTTAAAATCCTTTTGGTCAAATGCGTTTATGCTAAATGACTTCATTCTGACAAAGATCTGTTACTACTCGTAAAGACAGTACTCATCTGTACTTCATTTTCAAACAGGCTTTTTCAAGAAATGCTTCATACTGCAGAGCACAAGATGATGAATATCGCTTAGAAGTTACGACTCCTCTGCAGAGGGTTGACTTGTTCATGGGCCAGTTCAACAGTGTCCTGCTGACTTCGATATCTGTCTTCACCAAACAGAACCTTACCATTGCTAATCTGGGAACTTCAGAGGGCCGCTTCATGCAGGTAAATACTACTACAATAACTTCACAATAAAGAAAACAGTGGAGTTTAGCAGGATGGTGAAAAGTGAGAAGCATTATTACCCCCAGTTTAACAGGGCATTAGCAAATTGAAATTACCAAGTAAAATACAACTTCTGGAATATAAACAAATAGCCTAATGGAACACTCAACATTTTAAGTGTTTACCTGGATTTTGTGGTTTGAAGCAATGGTTGTGGAGCAAATTTTACCATGATCTCCACTTAGTCCAGCTGGCTCAGTTCACAGAGCAGTTTTGGTTCATATGAGCAAGAGTTCTTTCAAAGAAAACTAAACTGAAAGCTCTGTCTTGGATACATATCAAATATGCTCCAACCCCAGTTGGGGTAGAAAGGTTCAAAGAGCTTCAGAAATACACTTCATATGGGTCCTTTGCTCTAGAGGATCAGATTAAACCTATTCAATGTAAAATGCCAAGACAGCTTATACTGTAGAAGCAGGAGCCTCAGCATTAGTTGTTTCTATATACTGATCCACTCCTCTGGCACCAAATTCCTTGCTTTTATACCCATAGCCTATGACTCACAGCTGTAGAATTGAGATTAGCTCCTTTTCCACCTACTTTCAAGTTTCTCTGAATGCGTCTTAGATTTTCAGGCTCTTGCTCACTTGCATCTCACTCTTCTTTTGGACAACAGTTCTTCCTGTCCTAAAAGACGTTTTCCATAAAAAGTGGTAAATCACCCTGCTGAGTAGTCTATCTCTGTCCACTGAGTACTTAAATAATCTAGACAGGTAAATTATACTACACAACTTCTTTGTAGGTGACTAATGAAATAAATGGAACCCATAGAGCCAAGCAATTTAAAAACTTGGCAGTCAAAATTAAACACCAGAAGGCGAAGACAAAACACTTTGAAATCACCAGGGGCTCCCTCTATACACCCATCTTATTTCAAGCACTATTATCCTGCAGTAACCTCCTTGGAGTGTTTGACTTCTCCATCTGCCACAAAGTCCAGCCTGGATGTGCATCTCAACCTGGATCCTTCCTGCACCCAAGGACCCGTGTTCTTTTAATTTGCCATTATTATTTGTCTTCTTGTGAGCTTCCTGAAGTATTGGCAGTCTTTGGCCCTTCTTGCTCTGTAGGCTACAGAGAGTCATCAAAGTTGGTAGTGTTGTCCCCTAACCATCATTATCTGAAACCTGATGTGAAGGCCATTAGTTGCTATGTCATTCCAGTTTTCCCATTTCCCATAACCTTCCATTAGAAAACACTTGGGCACATGTAACCTTTCAGGAAAACAAGCCTCTCCTTTCCTGTCTTCCTTCCCCTCATTTTCTGTCCTTACCACATGCAGTAAATAGGGTTACATATTGTCCCCAGTATATGCACCCTGTCTGGATAAAGGGAATCCCGTACCTTTGGTCTTCTGCACAGGCTGGACACAGCCTGCAGTATAATGCAAATTCTGTAATGCTTCTACAGGGAAGAAGGTCAAAGTGATTTGCCATAAAGAACAGATGAAAAAGTGGGGAAAATCATACTTCTCTTTTCCCTGAAAAGAGAGGGATTTAACAAAACTTTCAGTGACAAATCTACCAGTTTTTCCTGCACTTCCCATGATGAGCTTGGTAACTTTAAGCTGCAGTTTGTCTTTTGTGCAGGAAAGGCAAATGCTAAGAGCTACACACTGAGCACAGGACCAAACTATGCTCTGTTCTTAAAAGCAGATACTGATTCACAGAGCAAACATCAGCAATTTGTTTAACCTTTCAGAAGTAATTTCCTTACTACAAAATACAGTTAATAACAACTACTCTCTTACTCGCAACATTTCTTCTGGGCTGTCACAAAGCTTTTAGGAAGGTTTGGTAGAAAGCGCAAGGGAGCATTATTCTTATTTATAATGTTCTTTAAATTATTCATTCAAGTCCTGCACCACACACTTCATTCAAATGTTTGCGCAACTCAAAGAACAATTAAATATTTCCAGAATACATTTCCCATTCCACGTTCAGTTACAGATCAAAAGAAAAGGCTATTGTGTAAACTGTGTGGCTGTTAGCAGCAATATTCTCATCATTGAATCAGATTGGCTTGAGCTACAGGGGGAAGTCAGCATTGGGCTCATATTGTAGTAAGTAGGATCGCTTTCTTTGAGTGTTGGGTGCAACCAGCAGAGAATAAGCAGACTGACTACCTTTAATAATGCGACCTCCAAATAAAAATGTTGGTATTTGTTTTGCCTTTAAGTGATTTTGGAAGTGATACCAGATCTGTAGGATACAGCAGACATAGATTTTTCCAGAATTTAATGTTCTCTTACATTTTTTTGTTCTTTTTTTTTCCCTAATAGTTATCTAGGAAGTGATTTCAAACACGATCATTACTAAATGCCCAACTAAAGGAGATTTGTGGTGTTTCTATGGAAATATAGCTATTAACTGCAATGAGATGGAGATCGTTAAAAATTGAGCTATTATATGACCATTACTTAAGTGAAATGGGTTTTAAAAAAATCAGGATTATCTAACAATGACTTAATTTATCAAAAAGATATCCCCAAATGCTTCCACAGATTTTTAGCAAAGAAATGTAATTATATTCTTTTTTGTTTCATTCACAAATCTACTGGAACTTATTGCAAAGAATCCTCAGCTGTTCGCTTATTACGCATCTCACTTTTGCACAGTCATTTGCACTCATATTTTTAGCTCTTTGTACAAGCAAATACTGAATTTTCTTGTGCACTCCCCTTGTAACTTGTAGCTGTTCAGAGCTGACTATATCCTTTCCGACACAGGCATGCTTTCAGAGAAAATTAGTTACCGAATTCTACCTATCAGGGAACCTGTTTTAACACTGGTTGTATTGTGTTAGTATCTTGAGAACATATTTTCATGCCATCTAGCTAAAAGCAAAAGAAAAAATATTCATATAGGTTTCTAAAATTAGAAAATCAGCTCAGCCCTTCCAGTGCACCCAGTTCATCTCGTATCTTCTTCGAAATTCCAAACCTTACTATATTTAGACAACTTAGTTTCTGACATAAGTTTCGGTACTAGCAGCCATTCATGAGATTAAAAGAAATAGTAGTACAGTACCTCTGTCTCTGACAACTGCACCCTGCAGTGCCCAAATATGGAACAGCTTGGTGAAAGCTTGGTGAAAGTTTAAATCACATTTTTTCTGTATTAATTTAGGGTTTCTTTCTTTCCTCTTTCTTGCCACTTTTCCATCTCCTTTTGCATTTCTTCTGCTCATCACTTTCTGTCTTCCTACACTCCCCTCATCTCCGACTTTATTTCTGTCTCCATCCATTTTTATCTCTTTACAACATGACTACAGCACAGCATTGCTGAAAAATTCAGCAGATGTCTGTTTTTCCTCCTGTAGGTGATGGCTACCAGATTCTGGGGGTTTGATGTATTTTGAAATGTATCAGAATTAATAGTTCCTAACTTTGCAAGTGATTCCACCAAAGCTTATAGCATTACCCATCAAAACTCTGTTAATGACCCGAGAACATAGTCCACATTTCTCTTATTTAAAAAAAGTGTTCTAAAGAACCAGTAATATTCAGAATGCAAAAGCAGGTATGTTTTATCCAATCAAGGAATGTTTTATCCAACCTGTTGTTATTCTGCTTGTGGTTTTAGTTTGATAAAATAGAATTATTCACTTGAATTGCTCTGGAAAGCTCTAATACAGGAAAGTAAATACAGCTTCCTTCACTAAATGTTTACTTTTTTTCAGCCAAATGTAGAACTAGAATAAAATCAATATGGATGGTCCAAATACAGAAGATTCATGAGTTCTTTTAAGGAGGATAATTGGGGCCAGGAGGTGAATTCCAAATCTCTCCTGGAGAGTGCTGCAGCCCATTCACATACTGAGCATGTTTTGGCTGCATCAGAAATGTTAAATCTGTATTTGGCCATGAATAGCCTAGAGTTTGTAGTTTACCAAATATTGTGGAGTTTCTGTTACAAAACAGAGCAGTAATAATTTTTCTAAGACAGCTGACATGCATGAGACAGAGAAGAAAAATGGCTTTACTTCCTTCCTAAGCTGGAGCCTGAAAACAAACTTTTTTTCTCCCTTCTTTTTTTTTTTTCTGTTGAGAAGTTGCAGCTGTTTTGGCCTTTCTTATTGTGCTTGTTTTCAGACTGTGACTGGGAACACAGACTGAAACTACAGCTGTTGGGTGCGAAGTGAATCAGGTATTTCACAGTGGTTACTTCATTAGAAAACAGCCCCCAGTCACACCACTGTAGCTGAGCAATAAGATTTTCAGCTGGTGTAAGCAGCCTTACTCTGCTCGAGCCAAAGAAGCTGCACTGAGAATACAACTCACAACTGATAAAGACGCTTTCATTACCAGCCAGTATTTTGGGAAATCATAATTTGTGAAAAAAAAAAAAGAACAAAACACCTCATGATATATTGAGATAAAATATCTTTTATTTTTGCTCAGTTGTTTGTTTTTTTTTCCTGCCTGGATCTTGGTATTATTTCAGACAGTGGCTTATGAGAGAAGAAGAAAAGAGCAAAGTTCTTCAGGAAGGGGAAATCTTTGTGATAGCTCTGGGAAGTGTGAGGTATGGGAATGTTTTACAAGATTTATTCTGAAAAGCTCACGGCTGAAAACCCATAACCATGAACAAGAGATTGATGCTGTTGATGTATGCAGAGGCTGGGTTTTGGCCTAACACTATGTTTGGAAGCAGAATACTGCATGTGCTCCCTATGCTTCAAGCTGGCCTCACCAAGGTAACACCCAACTAAATACACTGCTTGTTGGTGACCTTCTTGAGGAAAAGGGGCTAGAGGAGTTTTTACTGTACGATTTACAGATACAATGGGCAACCACTCTCTATAGATGCAGTTTTGGCAGCGGGGCCATCTCATCCTTCTGACTATATCAGTGAAACTCAGTGTACAGTGAGGCTGCACTGGGCTGCGTGTGGAGTGGTGCAGTAGGACATTCATCCTGTTGCTTCTGGAGGTGAGGA